GGTCAAGGCTATGGTTTTTCCAGTGGTCATGTATGGATGTGAGAGTTGGACTGTGAAGAAAGCTGAGTGCCGAAAAATTGATGCTTTTGAACTGTGGTGTTGGAGAAGACTCTTGAGAGTCCCTTGGACTGCAAGGAGATCCAACCAGTCCATCCTGAAGAAGATCAGTCCTGGGTGTTCATTGGAAGGACTGATGCTGAAGCTAAAACTCCAGTACTTTGGCCACCTCATGCGAAGAGTTGACTCACTGGAAAAGACCCTGATGCTGGGAGGGATTGGGGGCAGGAGGAGAAGGGGACGACAGAGGATGAGATGGCTGGATGGCATCACCGACTCTATGGGCATGAGTTTGAGTAAACTCCGGGAGTTTGTGATGGACAGGGAGGCCTGGCGTGCTGCGATTCACGGGGTCGCAAAGAGTCAGACACGACTGAGTGACTGAACTGAACTGAACTGAATACCCCATTGTAAATATGTGCCACATCTTCTTCATCCATTCAGCTGTCTCTGGACATTTAGGTTGTCTTCATGTTCTCCTGGCTATTGCAAATGGTGCTGCAGTGAAAACTGGGGTACATGTGCTCTTCTGAATCATGGTTTCCTCAAGATAGCAGATCAACTTTTAAAACAGAGAGGAGGAGGAATAGACATGTAGGAATAGTGTCACTGTTGCTTGAGGGATAGATTCCAAGCCTGGAGATAAAACATAGAGGGCTAGCTGTGCAGCTGGACAAGCTGGCCCAAAGAATCTCTGGGTTTTGTTTCTGTTTTTAATGAAGTCAGATACCTCAAGAAGGCAGCGGAGAGCATTTCTTTTTGACCGCGATAGTCTGCAGAGATTTCCAGTCGTTAAAAGGGATCATTCTAAAGGTATCACAAAGAGCACCCTATTACAGTGTCTGTCTCCCTGAAAGCGAATCCTTCTTCTTTGTACTCAGAGTGTTTCTCTGTTAATAACAGCCTCCTCCGATGACCCCAGGTTTCACAGCCTCCCTGGAAGTAAAAGCTGCTCTTTGTACAGGCATTTTATTCCGATTCATACACACACTCCTCCCCAATTGGGGTCATAGTTGGGCCACCGCTACTAAATGCATCACCACTGAGTCAAAGGACAAGTCAGAGCAACTGTCTGTGCTGCCTTCTCTTCCTCATCGTGTTTATTTAGGTTGACATCGCTATCAATAAAATTCAGCGAGCATTTACACAGCGCCCCACTTGTGCTCAGTCACATATGCGGCATTGAGTTGGTTGGGCGTGGTTTCTGGCCTGGAGCATCTTGCATCGGCTTCCAGATGGTTTTGGAGATTGGCAAAATGCTTTGGCATCTCCCTTCGACCCTTGCAGGCTATGGTGGTAGTAGTTTAGTGGCTCAGTTGTGTCTGACTCTTGTGACCCCATGGACTGACTGTAGCCCACCAAGCCCCTCTGTCCATGGGATTTCCAGGCTGTAAGTTTCTCTTAATTTGACTTGTCACTTTATGATTTGGCTGAAGGTGAACTTGAGTACATTCAATCAAACAGAAGTCTCTATGAAACCGATTCCCCAACCTGTATGTTCCTTCTGTACTTCATGTGCGCTTACCTCTTTTATCAAGTCATGTTATATTTATTTATGAACATGTCAGCCTCCATTATCTGGGGAGGGAGAAAAGGTGCTCAGGGAGTGGAGCCAGAAAGCTTGTGCTTGTTTTTGAAGTCAGACTTAGGTATGAATCAACCATGAAATTTTGCCCATGCAAGTTAATCTCTCTGATTAGTCCCTCAGTCCCTATCTAGAGTTGAAAGATAATGCCTTTGTCACAGCATGGATGTGAGAATGAAGGTATTTATCATATGAATGTGCTTTGTTAACTATTACCCATATGCTGATTTTATTATCCCCCCCAAGTGATCTAGCAAAAGGCCTTGCCTATAAGAAATACCTTATTAATATTCATTAAATTATAGAAAAATGACACCAACCACCCTGTGATGTATTATTCTTGTCATTCACATTCATTTTGTAGCCCACATCCTTAGCTAGGCCTATCTGTAATGCCCTCTATGTTTGGGGAGGGTATTTGTAGGAAACAAACAGGATCAAAGGGGCCTACTCACCAGTGAAGCTATCCTTTTGGATAGTAGGGTCCAAAGCACTGTTCCCTACCCCCTACTTCATATGTCCTGCTTCTACCTTAAAGGGCAGAAAGTACCAGAGAAGCTCTACTAGTTAAAACATGGTATCTAAGGACTTTCCTGGCAGTCCAGTGGTTAAGACTCCATGCTTCCACTGCAGCGGATGTGGGTTCCAGCCTTGACTGGGAAAGTAAGATCCCACATGCCACATGGCCAAAATAAAAAAAAAAGGACTCTGGAGTAAGACAGTCCTGGGTTCAAATCTTTACTAGTTGTGTGACATCGGGTAATTTTCAAGTTTTTCTTAGCTTTCCATTTTGTGTGTGTGTGAAATGAAGATAACACAGGATTGGACAATGACTAAAATTAGATTATACCAACATTGCAATCCCAAACAAATGCAATGTCAAAGAATGCTCAAACTACCACAAAATTGTGCCCATCTCACATGCTAGCAAAGTAACACTCAAAACTCTCCAAACTAGGCTTCAACAGTACATGAACTGTGAACTTCCAGATGTTCAAGCTGGATTTAGAAAAGGCAGAGGAACCAGAGATCAAATTGCCAACATCCGTTGCATCATAGAAAAAAGCAAGAGAATTCTAGAAAAAACATCTACTTCTGCTTTACTGACTATGCTAAAGCTTTTGATTGTGTGGATCACCACAAATCGTGGAAAATTCTTCAAGAGATGGGAATATCAGACCACCTTACCTGCCTCCTGAGAAATCTGTATGCAGGTCAAGAAGCAACAGTTAGAACCGGACATGGAACAACGGATTGGGTCAAAATTGGAAAAGGAGTACATCAAGGCTGTATATTATCACCCTGCTTATTTAATATGTGCAGAGTACATCATGCGAAGTGCTGGACCGGATGAAGCCCAAGCTGGAATCAAGACTGCCGGGAGAAATATCAAATATCTCGATATGCAGATGACNTACAATATTGTAAAGTAATTAGCCTCCAACTAATAAAAATAAATGAAAAAAAAAACTCAACAATCAAAAAATGAAGATCATGGCATCCAGTCCCATCACTTTATGGCTAATAGATGGGGAAATAACGGAAACAGTGATAGACTATTTTCTTGGGCTCCAAAATCGCTGCAGATGGTGACTGCAGTCATGAAATTAAAAGACACTTGCTCCTTGGAAGAAAAGCTATGATCAGCCTAGACAGCATATTAAAAAGCAGACTTGACTTTGCCAACAAAGGTCTATCTAGTCAAAGCTATGGTCTTTCCAGTAGTCATGTATGGATGTGAGAGTTGGACCATAAAGAAACCTGAGTGCAGAGGTTTGGAAGAATTGATGCTTTTGAACTGTGTGGTGTTGGAGAAGACTCTTGAGAGTCCCTTGGACTGCAAGGAGATCCAACCAGTCAATCCTAAAAGAAATCAGTCCTGATTATTCATTGGAAGGACTGATGCTGAAGCTGAAGCTCCAATACTTTGGCCTGAGGCAAAGAACCACTCATTAGAAAGGACCCTGATGCTGGGAAAGATTAAAGGCAGGAGTAGAAGGGGACGACAGAGGATGAGATGGTTCGGTGGCATCACTGACTCAGTGGACATGAGTTTGAGTACACTCTGGGAAATGGTGATGGGCAAGGAGGCCTGGCATGTGGCAGTCCATGGGGTCGCAAAGAGTCAGCCACGACTGAGCGACTGAATTGAACTGACCATTAGATAACGTTCTGAAAGGAGATATTGAGAGAAATGAAGAATTAAAGAAGCCCAACAAGCGTGAACATTACTTGAGCAACTCCTAATGGGCTGGGCCCCACGCGCGTCGGGGAGACAGACGCTGTCACCGGCGGGAAAGAGACGACTGCGTGTAGGAGCCGGTGCGGAGACGACAAGAACACGGGGCTGGGTGTGAGGGGGGCACCAGGGGAGCGCCCGCCTGACAGCCCCGTCGAGGAGGGCTTCCAGCAGGAGGTGATTCCTGTGAGAGATGGGCGGGTCGTGTGGGTGAGCCGAGCGGCCGGAAGGAGCACAGGGAACCGGGACGCAGACATCTGACAGGACCCCGTTCTTCTCTGACAAGATGGAGCCACGAGGGTTTGCGGACGCTAGCCTTGCGCTCGCAGGAGCTGACACGCCGGGTCTTGACGCGCCGAGGCTGCGCCCCACCCCCCCACCCCCGAGGGAGGCCGCTTAAGCGGAGAGAGCGAGGCACCCCGGAGTCCTCGACCCCGCTCAAGCCCCTAGTCACCCCACTTGAGCTCTGTACCTCTGTGGTCAGCCAGCGATGACACCCACCCCCAGGGTCACTTCGAGGACGAGACGGGACTCTGTTGGCGGCCAAGGGTGCGTCCCCGAACAAGTATTTCAATAAACATCAGCTCTCTCGGCCTCAGCACCGTGTCGCGAAAGCCCGAAAGCCCGAAAGCCCCAGCGAGGCCCGCGTCCCCGCTTCCTCCCTCCCGCGCAGGGAGGGCCAGCGGGTGCTGCAAGCCCGGCCCGGACGCCAGGACGCGCACTGGCGAGGCCAGCCGCGCGGGCGCGCCCACCGCGCATGCTCCGCGGGCCGCCGGGACCCGGCCGGGCGGNCGAGGCCCCGGGGCTCCGGCCGGCGGGGCGCCCCTCGGGCGGGCCGCGCTCGGAGGGCGGCGCGATGGCTGGACGGCCCCCGCGACGTGACCGCTGAGGACGCCCCCGCCGCGCCCGGGCCCGGCCGCGCCGAGACAAAGGGGAGGCGCCCGCACGCGCGTTCGCGGGAGGCTCGCGGGGCGGCCGGACGCGGCGTCGCCTCGCCTTGGGCCGGGCGCGCGGGGCCTGCCCGATGCTCTGAGCTGCCCGGGGACTCCGGCCGGGACCCCGACCCCCCGGCCCCGCGGCCGGCCGCGCCATGTGAAGGGTGGGCCGGCGCCCGGAGCGCGTGAGGATGGGGGATGCCGCGGACCCCCGGGACGGGAAGAGGACGTTCATTGTTCCGGCCATCAAGCCCTTCGACCACTACGACTTCTCCAGGGCCAAAATCGCCTGCAATCTGGCCTGGCTGGTGGCCAAGGCCTTCGGGACAGGTAGGCGGTGGCCGTCCGTGCCTCCCTCCCCCGCAGCTGCGCGCATCCCGGTTTTGTTTCCGTCCTCTGGTTCCCCCCCCCGCCCTGCTCCCCGCCTGACTCGGCGCACAGGCTCGGCGACGCGATGTGCGAGGAGGAGAAAGGAGGGGGGTAATAACGCCGGCTTGCTCTTCAGTCAAGAGCCTCCGGTTTGGGCAGGTGGGATGCTCCAGATTTCTTTTATTGGATAGCAGTAGTGGGTGTTTGTTGTTTTTGTTTTTTTACCTCGTTCCAGTGACCAATTTTGTCACGTTTTTACACAGGGTGGTTTTAATTTGTGGTATTTTTCTCATGGTGCTGCATTCGTTTCCCCCGCAGTCATAGCTGTGATTACAGCTGAGTTGGTTTCGTTATTATTGGAAGGAGGTGGCTGGCACACAGACTACATTGATTCTGACATTTGTAACCATGGCTGCGAGTCAGGCTCCGTGGGCTGTACGTGGCCCGCGGCCGAGTGCAGGTTTTTAGTTTTTGTGGTCCTTCTTTAAGCCTTTGTCCTCCTGTACACGGTCCAGGCTCTGTTAGACCAGTTATTTAAACCCAGTATTTAGCTTGCTGACTGTCACGTACTGTTTTCATTTCGTGTTCAGACACATTCCTTTTCCCAAACATTTTGGCTTCATAAATTAAGAGAAACAACAACTCCCTACTGTGGGATTAAAAAAAATTTTTTTTAATAGAAGAGTTTTTTGAGGGCATGTGCTGTTGACACAAACTGTATAGTCCAGTGGAAGTCAGACACTCCCGCCTTAACCCAGTCTTTGCAAAATAACAGGAAAAGGGCCTCCTGTGTAATTCCTTGGCTGGTGCATTAGGAGCCCCTGTTGTGGAGCTCTGAAAGATTTAGCTTTTCACTGGGAGATTTTTCCATGCAGCTGGTTTCTTCTGATAGCTTTGAGTCATTCTGTAAGATTTCTGTGCCCTAGTTAATAAATTTTGGATATGTAAAATATCTGTTGAAAAGTTTCTTAGTATTTACAGACTTTTCTTCAGATGTTAAATACAGGTTTTTGTTTTTTTTTTTTTTTTGAGGGGAAGAGGATGGCTTCTTTCCAGTTTTAGGACCATGAAAATATGTGGGTAAATGGTTTAATTAATTCTTAACTGTTCAAACATACACAGTTGACTAGCAGGACTGCATATTTAGTTAACTAGCGAATGAATCTCAGCGTTTAGAAAATTGTTTTAGTTAGTTTTGAGGGAAACTTCACCTTACTGGGATTTGATGTTTATGACAGCTTTTGTCTTACTTGAATTCTCATGCTTTGTATTGAAGCAGAAACATGGTAAAGGTTTTCAAACTCGCATCAGGAGTAAATATAATAAAAAATTTACTTTGAAATAATTTGGATCTTAGAGATTTTGTTGAAACTGAATGTGTAGAGTAACACATGGGAGGAAACACAAAGTGTTAGAGTATTTTTGTTTCCTGACACCACTGAAGCTAATATCCATTTAGAGGAGAAATGGAAGCTACTCAAGTGTTTGGAAAAGATGGAGAAAGGGAAATTTATATTTCCACCTCTGTGGAAAAGCAGTGTGTACAAAATGGAATGCAGAGGGGATAGCAAAAATATTTCCTTTCCTCCTGAAACTGAGGGAGAATCTTGTAGTACAGATGTCCTTGTTGCCCTGGATTCATGAGGATTCCTGACCACAAAAAGGCCTGCTCTCTGGGTGTGTGTCAGGCAGGTTTAATAGATCCTGGGCCTCTTGAGGAGCAGGCGTTGAGGAGGAGAAGAGGAAGAAGCAGAGCCCGGGTGGAATGTGTTGTGTGTGGGAGGCGTGTGAGATGCTGTGCGTTCTGTTGTACGTTCGGGGCCCACGGCAGCTCTGTGATATAGGTAGCCTGCTCCTCATCTAAAAAATGCGAGGTCCCCAGTGCAGAGAGAGATTAAACAGTTTCCCTACGGTCACACTTTGAGTGAGGGCAGACACGAGCTTTGACTTGAGTGTCTGACTCCGAAGGGCTCGGTGTGGGTGGAGCAGGCACACCTCTTCTGTGTCTGATACTTCAAACACACTGCTCTGTTAGTAGTCCCACAGAATTCCTCCAGAAGGGTAGTGTTCTCATTTCACAGATGAGGGAATGAGCTCAGACCCGTTCGCTCAAGATTAAACATCTGGTGGGTCCTGCAGGTCTTTACTCCTGCTGCCACTCTGCAGAGTAAGCCTCTTTATCTGCCAGGTGTGCAGGATGTCCATGTAGTACATGTTAGAAGTCCTATTTACTCACTTGTTTTCTTTGAGTAATGGCAGATCTTACTCCCAGATGGCTTAGATGAATGACGTTGGCACTTATATTTGTCTTGGGAGCGATTGGCCTGGACAAAAGTCATATTCAAAATGGAATGAAAAACAAGCTTAAAAAAAACATAAAGTCACTTAATAAGGAGAAATTAATGTATTATTAAGAAGGTTATGTATGTACATTTTGTTTGTTCTTATTCAACAGTCTTTCAAAATATACGTTTATATGGGGTGAGTAGAAAAAAGGTAAGATTTCATTTCTTTGGATGTAAATTTTCTGCATTTGCTGCAGACACTGTTTTATGACAGGTATTAGTAAACAGCGTATTTCAGAGGTATTGCCTAGGGGTATTCAATGAATCATTCAAAACACTAGCCCCCATTTAAGTTATGACTTATGAACATCCCTTCTTTAACGATGGCATGTAGGATTCTTAGGTTCTGATTTAGTCTTTTTTTGTGAGAAACGTTCTAACTTTTGACAATCTTAGAGATTTTGTTGAAACTGAATGTGTAGAGTAACACATGGGAGGAAACACAAAGTGTTAGAGTATTTTTGTTTCCTGACACCACTGAAGCTAATATCCATTTAGAGGAGAAATGGAAGCTACTCAAGTGTTTGGAAAAGATGGAGAAAGGGAAATTTATATTTCCACCTCTGTGGAAAAGCAGTGTGTACAAAATGGAATGCAGAGGGGATAGCAAAAATATTTCCTTTCCTCCTGAAACTGAGGGAGAATCTTGTAGTACAGATGTCCTTGTTGCCCTGGATTCATGAGGATTCCTGACCACAAAAAGGCCTGCTCTCTGGGTGTGTGTCAGGCAGGTTTAATAGATCCTGGGCCTCTTGAGGAGCAGGCGTTGAGGAGGAGAAGAGGAAGAAGCAGAGCCCGGGTGGAATGTGTTGTGTGTGGGAGGCGTGTGAGATGCTGTGCGTTCTGTTGTACGTTCGGGGCCCACGGCAGCTCTGTGATATAGGTAGCCTGCTCCTCATCTAAAAAATGCGAGGTCCCCAGTGCAGAGAGAGATTAAACAGTTTCCCTACGGTCACACTTTGAGTGAGGGCAGACACGAGCTTTGACTTGAGTGTCTGACTCCGAAGGGCTCGGTGTGGGTGGAGCAGGCACACCTCTTCTGTGTCTGATACTTCAAACACACTGCTCTGTTAGTAGTCCCACAGAATTCCTCCAGAAGGGTAGTGTTCTCATTTCACAGATGAGGGAATGAGCTCAGACCCGTTCGCTCAAGATTAAACATCTGGTGGGTCCTGCAGGTCTTTACTCCTGCTGCCACTCTGCAGAGTAAGCCTCTTTATCCGCCAGGTGTGCAGAATGTCCATGTAGTACATGTTCAAAGTCTTCTTTACTCACTTGTTTTCTTTGAGTAATGGCAGATCTTACTCCCAGATGGCTTAGATGAATGAAGTTGGCACTTATATTTGTCTTGGGAGCGATTGGCCTGGACAAAAGTCATATTCAAAATGGAATGAAAAACAAGCTTAAAAAAAACATAAAGTCACTTAATAAGGAGAAATTAATGTATTATTAAGAAGGTTATGTATGTACATTTTGTTTGTTCTTATTCAACAGTCTTTCAACATATAAATTTATATGGGGTGAGTAGAAAAAAGGTAAGATTTCATTTCTTTGGATGTAAATTTTCTGCATTTGCTGCAGACACTGTTTTATGACAGGTGTTAGTAAACAGCGTATTTCAGAGGTATTGCCTAGGGGTATTCAATGAATCATTCAAAACACTAGCCCCCATTTAAGTTATGACTTATGAACATCCCTTCTTTAACGATGGCATGTAGGATTCTTAGGTTCTGATTTAGTCTTTTTTTGTGAGAAACGTTCTAACTTTTGACAAATTAAATTTTAGAACTGTATATCGGAAAACTCATTTAAGAGGATAGCTGGAAATCAGTTGTGGGCTAGGATGAAGTTATTGAACTTTAAAAAATAAATAAAGCACTGGTATTTAATGCCTAGAAAGCAGGTAATACCTAGGTTATACCTAGAAAGCAGATGGAGTATTTACTTAATTCGAGATTGGAATCATATTTTTTTTCTTTACACTGAAAATGTTCCAGATAACCCAAATCTTAATAGCTTATTTTGTGGGAGGAGGCAGGTACAACTTTGATCAAATGGAGAAGTTTGTTTAGGTGAATTTTAGTCAGTAAGCAGGTAAGATGCTCTAATTACTTGAAGCAAATTGCAGAAGGGAAAGTTGAACTGTGCTGTGTCTGGTGTATTTGAATAGCTTCACCCATTTATGCAATAGTATAACTTTGCTTTAAGTTTGCGAAGTTCTCACACTTGGAGTTCTTTTTTGTTGATCGTGTAACTTGGGCAATGGCAGTGAAAATGCCTCTTCTTTACTATAACACTAGAGTCCTAACCACTGGACCATCAGGGAATTGCTGGCATTTGTTCTTCACGTAGAACATAAGACCCACTTCCTGGTGTCACTTTATCATTTCAACCTTATCAACTGTCATTCTTCCTTTTGTACCATGAACTACAGAATATATATAGCAGAGTATAAAATCATCTGCTATTATGTGTGTGTGCTGAGTCACTTCAGTCATGTCCAACTCTTTGTGACCCCATGGACTGTAGCCTACCAGGCTCCTCTGTCTATGGGATTCTCCAGGCAAGAATACTAGAGTGGGTTGCCATGCCCTCTTCCTAGCCCAGGGGTCGAGC